GCATACTGAACTCTCATGGAGGCTCTGCTTGCTCGATCTTGTCCTTGAAGGGTGACCGGCTTATGTTGGTTATGTTCCGTCATAGTGCCTCGTCGACAACCTCGTTGCGTTGGAAATTACACAATCGCTTGGTCAATAGTCTCTCTACTTTTTCCTGAATTTGCCTTTGTTGGGGCAACAGAGCTCTCGGCTGCCCCCAGCCTCGACTTACTGGTCTAGGCTGCTCTTCCATGTGTTTGGCTCTTCTATGCCATGGATGCGGTGTGTGTGGTGCATCCCTAACAAGCAAGCGAGTTCTTCACAGGCTCCTTATTGAACTTGAGTAGGATTGAGTGACTGATTCTCTCCGTCTGTCGTGCTGCTTAATCCGATGTGGGGTGGATGATGCTCCTTATGGGCTTAGCCGCGAATGAACATTTCGCTTAAAAGATTGCTCATGTTGACTATCGGAGTGTGACCTCAACCATAAATGTACGCTCGTCTGTGGGCCTAAAACGGGAGTATACGTTATCTCGGGGCCTAATCGGGAGTGTACACTGTCTGAATGCTCGGTTAGTGGCTGGTCGAGTGGCAGCTTGTCGGGACACTGCTGGAGAGTTCTTTGTCTGCCCTTGTTCTACTTCGGGACACCTTGTCTGGGGCACATTGCATCTCGGTGCGCTGCAAGAGCTGGTTTACCAAGGTTGTCTATTATGCGAGGGTGCTCGTCAACTCTATGACTAGTTGAGACAAGTGTTGTTCTCCATTTGGGTTGGAATAGCTTGGAAGGAATGCGTCTCCTTGAGCAGTGGAAATGTGGTAGACTTCCGGGAGCGAGATTTAAGTTCAAAAATGTCAAATCCGAAGAAAAATATGGTGAAAATGCTCCTGCTTCAATCGTCGGTTTGGAAATTTGAAGCCGGGATGGTTGAACTAATCTTGAATTGATTTGGGCTGGTTGGAAGGCCATGAGGGCAGGCTGGGCCACGGGAGCAAGCTGGGCCACGAGAGTGGGTTGCTCGGCTAGAGCAGGTTGGGTCGCGGGAGTAGGCTGGGTCATGGGAGCAGGCTGCTTAGTGCGTGATGCATGCGAGTGTGAGGCTTGGGTCGTGGCTTTGGTGCCACGGGCCTTGGATGGCACGGCTTGGGCTTGGGCCCGTGCAAACTTGGATGGCACGACTCGGGACGTGGTAGCAGTGCCATGGACCTCGCCGCAGGTAGTGGTGGCCATGGTGGCTACCACGGTGGTTGCCATGGTGGAGCCCCGTGGCGATGGTGCCGCTCCTATGGTCACATTTAGCCTCGTGGATCGCCATGGTCCCATTTCTTGAATATTGGAATTTTCAGTTGTGAAATTTTCTAAATTTCTAGCCATTGTATTTCACTTTTACGTTTTATCAAAGAATCTTTGCAAATAAAAAATTCTAATAATACGAACGGACGAAAAATCTACAAATGAACAAGAAAGTAGAAAAACCTTTTGATGTGGGAGTCTTCTAAGAGTGTGTGACTCTTCTCTCAATGAAAGCACCAATTTGTGGATGCAAATTTCTTCCTCCTTGATCTTGGACAAAATTGTACCTACAAAACAATTAACACCTTTGGTTAAGGCCAAAAGCCTCATGCATCCACGATGAATGGGGGGCTTTGGCCGAAGAACCTCTGATGCCAAAGTTAGAATTTAGAGAGAAAAGTGTTTAGAGAGTTTTTGGAGTTTTGTAAGAGTGTAGACCTAGATTTTTAGAGAAAATGGGGTTCAATATATAGAGCATGGCCGGTCCCTCTTTTGAGAAAAGGTGGCCGGCCCTTTGGGGTATTTTTGTGTGAAATAGGTGATTTAATTGGTAGTTAATGGATTAATTAGGAATAAATCCATTAATTAGCCAATTAACTCAATTTATATGGAATGTTTTGAAGGTTATGAAATAATTACCTTGTGGAAAATATAGGATGAGGATGGATGAAATAACTTTGAATTTGTTACCTATTTTAGGCAGTTTTGACTTGATTGAGGGATGATTGTCCACTGCTTGCGCGTAGGAATCCCGGTGTGTTTCGAGGGTAATTTTGTCTTTTACCCAAAAATCCACATCTCGCCTCTTGATTATTTTTGGCTCCACAAGTTCGATATTGACTCGGATGAATCGCTTTATGTTCTACTACATTGATCGGTTGTAGACAATGAAATTCAAAGAGTAGATGTTCGAGCTGCGCACCCACTATTTTAATTATGGAAATTATGAAGAAATTTTAAATCATTCGTCTGATGAATTTTAGAATATGAGGGACCAATGTGACTGGGTCTGTAATTTTTTTCCAGACAAATTAGTCTTATATCACACAAAAAAAATGATGGGCAATAATGTAATTTCACAGGTTCAAATTTTACTGTTTTTTATTGAAGCATCACCTACAAGTGATGTTAAAATACCTCCAATATTTATATAAAAAAAATAAAAAATAAAAAACAAAAACAAAAACCTCCCACTCCTCCACTCTCTATATCTCTCCCTCTCTCCTTCTCATTTTCTAAAAAAATGTGTTCATGCACGCAAAGTGTGTAGGCAAATGCTAGTTTTTTTTTTTAAACCAACATGATTGTCCTTAACTTATTACATAAATTATTTTTTTAATCTAAATTTACTCGACGAATTGGTCTGTCGGTTAGTTAATTAATACGAAATAGACGAACTGTCGTCAGCTAATATTTACAAAATTTAAATAAATGTTTTGATTAATGTTAAACGACGAACATGTTGTTGTCGAGTCAAACTCTCCTTTTGGCATCGTCGTTCAATGCTGTTGGAATTTTGTTGATCGCCGAGCTCGCCTCACTCTAACGAGATCGATACTGTCCCCACCTTTACCACCAGCTTAATCCGTCAGGTGTGTAAGTTTTACCACAAAATGTCTCGGTATTAGTTAGAGTGGGGTAAACATATTAAACCCTTTTGGTTTTCTTCCCAGCACCAATGTGGGACTTTAACAAACGCATGCTTAGCTTGCGGAGGTTCGTCGCAATTTTCATCAAGTAATATTATCTTATCGATGGTGGATGCTATCCATCGGGAAAAAGGTTTTACGACGGGTTTGCCACAACCATATTTACCCGACGGACTGCTGTCGCTTGAAAGATGTCGCGACTTCTATTTTTAGGGGACGAATGCCTTTTGTGTCCTAAGTTATTTTTGCCTTTCGTCTTCACTATAGAACAATTCTAATGCAAACATTATAAAACACTATGCTAAAAACATAAGGCAACAGAGAGTTCATGAGGTGTCCAACTTTTGAAAAAGTTTCCTGTTAACATTTCTAGTACTACTAATTAGAAAGGTTAAAGAAGTTCGAGCAAGCGTGAATAAAAAGAAAGGGCGCCCGTAATAAATAAAAAAGTGACAATCTGTTATGAGGAGGAGAATGATTCTTGCATCATATTCAAAATTTCAAAGCCATGAATTTTCCCCTTGGAAAAAAATCTAGAAGCGCTAAACTAAAGTAGCCAACATAGCTTAGAAACTTAACCTAAAGCAAAAACAACCCATCTCTCTCTCTCTCTCTCTCTCTCTCTCTCTCTCTCTATATATATATATATATATATATATATATGGGTGTGATATCCTCACACTATTTTTTACTTCTTACACAACCCTTATTAATTTCTGTCATTTGATCGGACGCCGAAAAAAATTAAGAGGATGTGTGAGAAGTAAAAAAGACAATTGTTCCCTGTCTCTCTCTCTCTCTCTCTCTCTCTATATATATATATACACATATATATATGGATGTGATATCCTCACACCATTTTTTATTTCTCACACAACCCTTATTAATGTCTGTCCTTCGATCTTTTTCAATTCATTCGATCTGACGCTGGAAAAAATTAAAAGGATGTGTGAGAAGTAAAAAAGGGTGTGCCACACACGCCTATATATATATATATATATATGTATGTATCAACAGCTACTCCACTTATTATACGGTCTTGTTTTATTTTCTACATATATGTGAGGATGTGGAGTGTCATTCAACATTGGAAAATTAGGAATTTTGTATGTGTTGATAAATAAGAAGTTAAACTACTTCCCATATTTACTCAAATTGATTTGATTTTGTACTGAAATTCATTTCAATTTCCTAAAAATGGAGATAAAAGGAGAACAAAAGAAATGGTAGGTAGTTAGTTTTGTTTAGAGATAAGTTAGTTTCTTATCCCTCATTTTCTTTTTTCATTAATTGAAACCTTATTACGTACGTTTTTATTTTTTATTAAGGTCCCTGACTTTTTCCATTTCATTATTTGAATGTTAAATTATTTAAATGTCATTATATGTCAATTTTAAAGATAAAAAAAAAACTAATTAACCATTTCCCAATATATCTTCATATTATATATAAATAAATATATATATATATATATATATATATTTTTTTTTTTTTAATTTGTACCCAGTTTTCAAAATTGCTATCAAAATTATTTTTAGTTTTTATTTTGTACCCATAATTTTATATTTGTTTATGTACCCATATTTTTGTTTAATGTACACATGCTAATTACATTTCTTTGTTTATGTTTTAAAATATATTAATAGTTATTTCCTAATATATTAATAATTACGTGGGTACATTATTCTTGTGGTAGGATTATATAAATAACAATATTATTCTATTATTAATTTTTAAATAACTGTCATATTTAAAAAAAAATTTATTTGAATTTTGTTTAAATTTCATAATAGGATATTAAATGTATAAATGCAGGAGTTAAATCCCTTAAATGATGATATGAACCTCAATCAAACTATTTAAACAAACATGGTTTCATTATAACAATTGGGTTGACTAGGGACCAAGACCAAAATGGCCCTTTCTTTAGTCAAGCCAAGCATATATTCCTTAAGTTAACTTTAGCATTTTATTTTTCCTTTCTTCTATTTTTTGGTTCCTAAGTACGCATTTGCGTAAACTAAACGCCCATGCATCCATGTCCGGAGATTTTAAATATTGCTTCATCAATTGTTATTCGATAGGTCTCATTCACTGCTTCCATGGCTAACGTTTCCGTTCTGAACCACGAACAACTGCAGTACCTTGCTCGTACACTTTACTACAAAGAAACAGAGGCCATCCTGCATACCAAATTCAACTCCGAAACCGAACTCGCGAAACACCTCAAGGATTGTAACGATGGTTACCAATCCGCTCTAGCCCTTTTGGATGCAGGTAGTGAGTTAGAGCATCGGTTTCGAAACGACGAAGCTCGGGCTTCTACAGCTCAGGAAATCTTTGGTTATATAATAAACGGGGCCAACTATGCACTCCAGACGGTGCGAAATTCTAGCTTGCGATCGCATTGTGTCGAAAAAGTTAGAGAGCATGTGAAATTGCTGGCCGATGCAATAGAAGTGGTACGCAACGTTAATGATGTGGCCAAGGAGGTAACTGAATACAGGAAGGCTATGTTGGAGTACACCAGGAGGCATCAAAATCCCCCATCACGCGAATTCTCAAGATGGCTCAAAGGGAGTGGCATTAAGTATGAGGAATTAGTGCAGAGGTATTTATTTAACTTATTATTATTATTAGCAGTAGGTTTTGAATAGGGTGTTTATTACTCAGGTAAGGTATTTTTAGTTATTTAATTAGTCAATTATACCGATCCTAACCTAAAGATGTGCGTCACTCATGCATGCAGGTATCAGGCTAAGCTTAAATTCCGAGGACGTTTCAAGGACCTGAAAGATGTACAAAAGATACAGGTAATGATTGCCACGGAAGGATAGACTTGTATATATGCATACAAGTAAAATAGAACATCCGAAATGGTCATTAAAAGTAAGTAATTTGGTTTAATTGAGTTTGAAAAATTTGCGGTCATAGGACAATTACAAACCCCTTTTATTGAAATAATAAGAAAATCTACACTATTTTGACACAAAATGATTTAAGAGCATTTATTAAAGAAATGTTTCATTGTGTCTGAAACATGGATGGTACATCATGTGTCATTATATAAACGGAGAAAAGTATTATTTTTCAACTTGTTAATTTTTTAAAATAAATATCTCACAACTTATATAGTAACATATGGTCTACCATTTCATGTCCCGAACACACTAAAAACTCTTTTCATTTATTGAGGCATGTTTTGTGTTATGCTGCATGTTAATCGTATTGATTTTCATATGTCAACAAAAGAAATTTGCAATCCTCCTCGACAGCAATCCTCAATTTATTATTGAGTGATTACTATAATCTCGTCACTAAGAGCCAGAGGTGCACTATTAGGCCATCTTTAACAAAAGGAGGGTCAGAGGGCTCCTTTTAGCCTTATAGCCCTCCAAGAAATTAATATTTTAATGAATAATGTCATACCATATTTCTTACAATCTCTAACCCGAGGGGGGTCAAAGGGCCATAAACCAAACATAGCCATGTGACAAAAAACCATCTCCAACCGAGGGGGCCAAAGTGTCATAGGCCAGACATAATTTATTATTTTAATTTAAATACTACAACAACTTAAATTAAAAAACTACAACTTAAATTTAAAAATTACAACTTAAATATAAAAACTACTACAACAACTTAAATTTAAAGATTATAATCATCATCATCATCATCATCCGCCATTGTAGGAGTATAGTCAGATGTAAACAACTCCCATCAGGCCATAATTTCTTTATTTTTCCTATCAAAATAGGCCTTACTCATTGGAGTGTAATCTGAAGTGTTCCTTTGCAATTCCTATCATCCATCTCTTCTTGTATTTGTTTGGCCCATTCTTCGTGCCTATGGTTCATTTCTTCCACGGCAATGGCATTTTGCTCCACCATTAATCGCAATGAGGTCGCAATTTCCTGTTGAAGGGCATAATCATCCTTTGCCTTCAATTTTCGGGCCTTGTTTCGTCCCATAGCCCTAGGTATGGAACCTTCACCCGGAGACAGATTTTCTACCCTTGTTTCTTGAATGGTAGGAGATCCATCTTTATCCCCATCTGCAGTTGATGATGCATTTCCGAACACCAGCGTAGGACCAGCTCTTTGTTGAGGTGGATCTTCAAATAACACCCACCCTTTACAAATTTCCCAACAACCGTGATGGCTAAAGGGTTTGAGTTGTCCTCCATATACAATTCCTTCACTTGGCGTACCTAGAAAATATAATTACAAAAGTTAAAAGAAATTAATTTATGAAATTAAATGTAATATAATTAAATATTTAAAATAAGTTGTGAAAACATTTATTTCGTCGTAGTAATTGTCTCTGCTTTCATGTCTGCTTGCGGCCTTTAACATAGCTTGATGTCATTTATTCAAACTTAGATGAAGATGTGTTTCTTCCATCTTCAAGAACAACTCTCATGGTTTCGAGTATTCGGTGGAGTGGTGTCTTAGTAGAACTCATAGTATTTTTTGGACGTACGAGTCCAAACACCTTCACTTGTTTGAAAACTCACCCTCACACTATCTTCCGAAACCCATCTATAAGTCCTGCAAAGAACTTCATCTTCTTTTCGGGTCCAAGCCCTACCTTTCATTGCAAATGTGGCCATTTGAAAATTACTGAAAAATTGAGAGAAATATTATTGGAAGAGGTAAGAGAATAGAATGTGAAGAATTGAAATAGAATGAAGTAAGATAGTATGAAATGATGAAAATTATGTGAGAAATGGTGTAGGAATGACTTAGGTATTTATAGGAAAAAAAGGGATTTTTTTAATATTTTAAAAAAAAAATTTGTCCGGAAAAAAAAAAAATCAAATTCAACAATCACCTATGGTCCTCTAGCCTGATCGATTGGAGATGGCTTTAGTGACTACAATAGCATTGTTGGCTCAAAATTTTATTCATGTGGGGCATAGTTGGATTACTTAGGGGCTGGTGCCTACACTGAGATTTGCGTTGGGCGAATCCACAAGTATTTTTAGCTTCAGTAGTACAGTACTAATTATAAATTTCACGCATGACAGTGGATTATGACTTTAAATGCGGTGTGTACATGCAAATTTTTCTCTTTTTAGAATCATATTGAAGGAGATTTATCTCTGTCCTGTGAGAGAGCTTCCCTCTCTGTGAGTGTTTTTCTCACCTCTGTGAGTGACCTCTTTCACATCATCCTCCTTCTAGCCGCTAGCCCTAGCTATGGCTAGGGTTGGTGGCAGTCCTCTTCTCCTCATTTTTCTTCTTTTGTTTTCTTTACTTCTCCCACAACTTTTGTTTTCCCCTACCTTTTGGTTCGATCATTCTTTTCCCCCAATCCCTTCTGCATATGATTTCATTGTGCCTAGTCCCTTTTTTTCATTGCCCCCTTCCTTCCACCTACCTGATTTCCACTAAATCCACTCCATATCATTTCCAATCGGCTCCATTCTTCATTGATCCAACAATTCGGTTTGTCACCCACTTTTTCTCATTGCGATTTCTCGCAATTTTAACGCGATTTCTCGCGGATCTCTCGGAAGGTCTGTAGAGCTCCGGCTCGGGTGTTTACACCACCTCCTTCCTTTAGGGTGTCTTTGATGACATCGATGCTAGTGGGTTTCTTCCTACTGGTTTCTTTCGTTGCGTGGTGGCGAACAATGTTATGCTCTGTGATGGATTTTGGAGTCTTCTTTTCATCCATGTTTGGGGCTGTGTATGGTTGCTGTTCAAAGGTTTGCAAGGGATGTTGGTTTCTGTTGGGTGGTAAGCAGCATGCCAATGGCGGCGTTGGTTGGAAATTGTTGGGTGTTTTGGTGTTTTGTTTGGGATAAAAATTCTTTTTTGGGCTTCTCTCTTGTTTCTCTGGCGGTCCATATTTTGAATGTGTGTATATTGTAGTTGGACCTCCTTTCTTGTATTTATGTGGTGTTGGAAATAGATTTACCTTTCTTCCAAAAAAAAAGAATCGTACCTAAGGGTCAAGAAAATGATTGTTTTATCTTTTCTATTTATATATATTTCCATATATAACACTTGGGATTTGAAGACGTTTATTTTTTGACACCCATTTTGTAGGCCACTTCGTAATTTATTTCAATGATCCGAATCGTTTATATTTCAATTCATCATTCATATATCACTGTTGCAAAATATTGGACAAATCCAAAACTATTAAGGCATTCATTTGTAGTGAAAAAAAAATGAATGATCACGGTTTTGCAAAGAAACATTAAATGACTATCATTTAATTTAATGGGAGTTTTAACAAAAAGTCCGCGGTACTGTTCACTTTAACGAAAAACCACATTTTTACACTAAAAAGTCAAACCTGATACTATTCACTTTACCCTTTATTTTGTCCTTATCATTAAAATTCAAAGTTTTCAAGCCCTTTTCATTAGTTTTCCTTTTAATTCTAACACTTATACGATTTCAAACTTGGGTGATTTTTGGTAAACATGATTTTTGAGGGAAGACCTAAAAGATAGATAATCTTTTTTTTTTTTTCAAAGCTAAAAGATAGATAGTTCAAATCATTACAAAAAAAAGTTATAGAATGAATGGTATAAAATGTGCGTCAAAAAATGAATATCTCCGATCCTAACACATGTATATATACATATATTTCAGTTATTGCTGCATCTTCTATTTAATTGAATCTTGACTTGCTTGTAATTTATGTAACGTTACCATATATGCAGGTGTACGAGGAAATAATAGAGGCATCAGGGCGGGGAAAGGTTAAAGGTCATCGGTTATCAAAAGTCTTGGGGGTTGCTGGCATATCCGTGTTTCTTTTTTCTGCAGGCGTGACGGTATGGGAAATATATTTAGCTGACAACCCACTTCAAACGGCAACACGTGCGGCTGTGGTGGCTATGTCATCAGTTGGAGGTGCGACGCTAGGAAGCGCTATAGGGGTTGCCCTGTCAAGCTGTCTCCCGGTACATCCTTTATTCGTGGTGATGGCAGGAATAATAGTTAGCATTGCAGGAGCTTTTATTCTTGGGGATTTCGCCGGCTGGTTGGTTGATTTGATTTTTAAATCTGGGGGTAGTACCACCTTGAGCACTGAGGGGCTTCGGTGCTACGTAGCACCGATGCCTGATGGTGTCGCTTTAGCCCGCCAAATTCTGCATCATCACCCACCAAAATATTAGAAATTTATGATGTGCATCTATATGGATAATATTGTTGCAAGTATAAATCGTGAACTGATGTGTTAAGTGTTTGTATTGATCCTAGCTTACATTGCTGGATTAATCAGCATTCGGTTTAAATGAAATTTTCCTTATTTAAGTCTTACAGGTCTTAAGTAAGTGAGGTGCCTTGTGTCTTCATCTCATAAGGTGTAAGATGGAAGGTTGTGATTGCTTTGATGTAAGCTTGCACATTGCCAAAACTATGTAACCGTTTGAAGAGTGTGGGATTACTTCAGTCTCTCTCTTCTCAGCTCATGTTGTATGTGTGAATGAATTTTGCAGAGTAACATTCTCTGCTTGCAGTCTCTCTCTCTATCATCATCCTCCATTTTTCTGTACCGTGATTATTTCTTCTTCTTGAAGAAGTTGTGCGGTCGCTGCACACAAATCTCTCATTTAAATTCAAATTCTAACAAATATGTGGTCCTCTACATTGGCCAATGGCAACATTATTGTTTAATGATTATCAATTACTTGATCCTGAAAAGATAATCAATAGATCGATTCAGATCTATGATAATGATTATCATTATCAGTTACTTGATAATTACTTTTTGGCTTAATTAAATTTTCAATTTTAGGCATAAATCCTAACAAACTTTACCACATGAACTTAAATGCTAGTTTATATATATATAGAGCTTAAGGGGAGGGATCCCCATTTTTTGAAAAAAATGGGGATTAGGTGTAGGGCCCACTTCACATCTAATTTCAACGATCCGAACCGTCTATTTTGTTAGTCTCGATTCATAGATCATTCTTGCAAAATATTAGCTAAATTGGAAATGTTTAAGACATCTAATTGGGTTCAAGGAAATGAACGAATACTTTGTTATATAAGAAAATATGAAATTTGATATTGATATTTAAATAGTCAAATGGTTTCGAATTGAATTGAATTTTTGCAAGGATGATCTATGAATCGAGACTAACAAAATAAACGGTTCGAATCGTTGAAATTTGATGTGAAGTGGGCCCCACACCTAATCCCCATTTTTTTCAAAAAATTGGGATCCCTCCCCTTAAGCTCTCTATGTGTGTATATATATATATATATATATATTTTTACACCATATGAGCTATCTTCCAACTACCATATCACCACAAGACTAATAATTCAATTAGGCCTTACTTTTATTTATTTATTTATTTTAAGAACTACTTTATTGATAAAATAAAAGATTCAACTAAGAGGGAAAAAACTTAGATCATATCCTAAAGTATTGGGCAAACCAAACTACACACGGATCCGAATTGCGGCCGTTAATGTAACCTACCCCTCCCCCAAAGTAGTTGGAAGGAGCCAAGGCCCCGATAGCGGCCTCCCCTATAAACATGAACCAAGAAACTCAATTTTAACCGTAGACAACATGAAAAAGTACTAACAAGTCCGATAAGTCGGAAGCTGAAAAAGGCTACGCAAATAAGCATAACAGCACAACCAGGACAACAATCCCACCAAAAAGTACCTGGCAGTCGACCATAATTAGCCATAGAATTCGCCGCCTGAACCTGATCCTGGGAAACTCAGAATTGTCATGAAAGAAAAGAAGATTACTGGGCTACTAAAAGATAAGTAAGAATTTCTATTCAAAACTCTTAGGGGTGCATTCAATTGAGATTTTGAGGGATTTTAATTCTTTTAATGAATATAGGGGTATTCAATCAGTATTGTAAGTGATTATCTAAAATTCAATGTGTATTCAATCATGATTTTAAGACGGGCGTATTCAATTTGGATTTTAAAGGATTTTAATTCTTTTAATGAGGGGTATTCAATCAGGATTTTAGGTAATTCTTTGAAATTCAATGTGTATTCAATCAAGATTTTAAGATAGTTTATTAAAATCCTTAGAAATCTGAGTGTATTCAATTAAGATTTTAAAGAAGTTTATAACATTCTAGGTGTATTCAATTAGAATTTGATTTTAAAGAATTTCAAAAAGATGAGGAATCAGAGGGAATTAGAGAGATTTTGTTGTGTATTTTAAGCATCCACAAATCTCACATCTCCCCATGAGATTTTGAGGGAATTGAATCAAAATTTTACATGGAATCTCTACAAATCAATTAAACTTTATAAAAATTCATGGATTTATAAATCCATTGAAATCTCTACGATTCTCAATTGAATACACCCCCTAAGATAGTTTATTAAAATCCTTAGAAATCTGAGTGTATTCAATTAGAATTTTAAAGAAGGTTATAACATTTTGGGGGTGTTTGTTTTCCCTCACTAAAGTTCACTGGACTGGACTAGACTAAAGATTACTCCAGTCCCGTGTTTGTTTTCTTGCTGAACTAGTTTTAATGAGATTAGCCAGGATTAGCTTTCACTAACAACCTCACTAGCCGTTCTTAGCGTGTCCCCCCAAAAACTATCAGACTAGCTAAGAACTTCTTCGTCCTGCTCAAATCAACTCCCCGACCTCGATTTCGACAACATAAGCTTCGGGTTCATCTCCGACGACAAACTCGTCGACTTCTTTACCTCCAACGATGACCTCGTCGACTGGGTCATCTCCGCCATCTTCTTCTCTTTTGTTGCTTCGCTATTGCCATGGTTATGGCTTTGAAGCTACTGATTTTGGCTTTGCCAAAGGCTTGCCTCCTCATCGACAGGGTCAACTCCTCATGACTGCTTCGCAATCTCAGTAAATCAATTTTTGTTCTGGGTTTTTGGGTTTTTTTTTTTTTTGTTGGTTTCTCTCTTAATTAAACAAGAAAAGTAAGAGATTGATGCATTATTTGATGGAGAGAAAATGATGGAGAAGAGAAACGCGGAAGGGTAAAGGAAGGGGAAAGAAAATTTGCTTAGGTCTATTCATTTCCAAGACTTCACTGTCCTTTAATTATTAATTTTTGTTTAATTTTTAAGGCAAAAAGAAATTAAAAATGGCAAAAAAAATATATAGTATGTGACTTAGTCCGACACTGCACCAAACGCTTCACTAAACTAGTCCAGCTTAGTCTAGTCTAAGCCAATCTAGCTTAGTCCCTGAAGCTAGTCCAGTCCGAGACAGTCCGGTGCAACAAACGCAGGTGTATTAAATTAGAATTAGAATTTAGAGAATTTGGAAAAGTTGAGGAATTAGAGGGAATTAAAGAGATTTTGTAGTGTATTTTAAGCATCCACAAATCTCACATCTTCCCATGAGATTTCGAGAGAATTGAATCAAAATTTTACATAGAATCTCTATAAATCAGTTAAACTTCGTAAAAATTCATGGATTTATAAATCCATGAAAATGTTTAAAATTCCCAATTGAATACACCCCCCTTAGTATTTGAATCACAAAGCATATAATCAAAACTGCTCATATTATCTATCACACTGTAAAAATCATCTCTGCAAAAAATGAATTAAAACTAAGATCGTTTAGTCAGTCTATTCTAGCAAATATATAGAAGGTTCGTAATGCTTTTACCAATTTCGTTCATCTGTTTTTATATAGTTCGATGACTAAACAACCTTAGTTTTAATTGATTTTTTGCAGAGCGGATCTTTATAGGGTGATTTATATTATGAACGATTCCGATTATAAACATGAAATTCTATAAATTGGTAACAAACAATTTTGAGTAGGAGTTCCTACTCATCCTTTGAGTAGCCAAGTATTGTTTGGAAGAAAACCTCGACAGTTATGCCAATGAAAACGAAGGGCCCAAGGCACCTGCACCAAAGAGGAAGAAAGAAAATGGACTACTAGAGATGAATCACATTCAATCGACAATGCTTGCGAACCATTTTTAATCGCCAAAGAAACTGCATGAACCACAACATAAATCTCAGACTCCAGAGAAGAAGTCAGACCAAGGGCGCCCGTAAAACAACCCAGCATAAGAGCACAAGTCCATTTATGAACACGGAAAATCCCATCAAGCCATCCAAACATGGGGAACCTCCAAGCTGCACCGTCCGTGTTTACTTTAACCAAATTTGTAGGATTTTGATGCCCAGAAACTCCAATGGCTCATAAAATAACTCAGAAACTGAATTTCATGGAGCTTTTAGTTTAAAAGAATCAATATCAACAAGTTGAAGTTTGATCGCCCTAATTAAAGAAGTTGTTGGAGTAAATATGTTTTTATTTAAATATTTAAATATAATTATGTTTTGTTTTACTGCCAATATTATATACATAACGTTTTGCTTTATTACCAATATTAAAAGTCAATTGATTTTGGCTTAAGGAATTATGCAATCAAACCATTTTGTTTTTATTCCTGGTTTGAATATAAATTACGTTTTGATTGTCCCACTGTGGTTTTTATCTTTTGATTGCACCATAAACTCTCTTGATTCCCTACGGTTTTGCATCCCATAAACATCCTTGATTTCTTACGGTTTCACACCCTCCAACGTCTATTTCTTTATATATATATATATATATATATATATATATATATATATATTAGTTAGGTGAATGGCAGAAAATATATGAAGGAAGAAAAGTTTTACATATATTGATTTATAAAAAGCAACATATCTGAAAGGTGTAAGTTCGAAGGTTTTTCTGGTGTGCAAGGCTATTTTAGGCTGTTTTATCCTGGGGACGACATAGTATTTGTGAACTACTTGCACACTTTGGGCAGAGGTGCGAAACGTGTTAAAGAGAGCGACTTAGTCCACGACTCATCCCAAGAATCATTCACCACTCAAGGCTTTTACATTTTTCGGGTAACTTCATTCCTTTCTATTTCAGTTTGCAACAATTTGAAGACGCATCAATCTCCCATGGAATCTGAAAACAACACTACACTCGACCTTAACAAGCCTTCCAAGTTTGAGAGTCTCCACTTTAAGCGTTGGAGGCAGAAGATGTTATTTTTTTCTCACTATAAAAAAATTGGTTCATTTTGCACCACTGTCAAACCAACTCTCCTTGAAGAGCCAATTATTGCACAAACCAAAGCTTCACAAACTTGGATTGAAAATGATTTTCTTGCTAAGAATTATATTCTTAATGGATTGTCTGATGATCTTTATGACTACTACTCTGATTATGGCACTGCTAAAGATTTATGGGAGCCACTTCAAAAAAAAATATGACACTGAGGAACCTGGGGCTAATAAATTTGTTGTTAGTCGTTATTTGAAATATCAGATGGTTGATGATAAATCTGTTGAAGCACAATCTCATGAATTACAAAAAATTGCTCATGAAATTATTTCTGAAGGCATGGTTTTAGATGATCAATTTCAAGTTACTGTCATCATTGATAAATTGCCACCAACCTAGAAAAATTTCAAGAACTCACTCTGCCACAAGACAAAAGAGTTCTC